ACGACGACGACGACAACGACGACGACGACGACGACGACGACGACGACGACGACGACGACGACGACGACGACGACGACGACGACGACGACGACGGACGACGTCGACGACGACGACGACGACGACGACGACGACGGCGACGGCCGCCCCTGGAGGCGTCTTGAGGCCCTCCGATGCCTGCCAGCACGACGCCATTCCCGTGGGCGCGGCGCCCTTTGGCTGTGAAGGGGCTGGCGCCCCCTCCCGTCGCGGTCGTTGCGGGCTCCAGGAACAGAAAAAAACAACATCATGGACGCTTTAAGGGGCGCGAGCGCAGGATCCCCAGAGGCCGAGAGGCCTGAAAAGTGCTGCCAGGAAAACCCAGAAGAGCCCAAGAGCAGAGCCGCGATCCGCCAACCGCCCAAGAAGAAATCCCCAGAAGCTGACACCCTAAGATTCCCCAGAGATCGCGCGCGTTCCGCAAATTCCGTTTTTCACTCCTACTGCCGCCCCAAGGGGTCGGCGATGCGGCGTCAGCAAATGAATCATGGAGGCTTTGGGGCACGAGCGCAGGATCAGATTTACATGAATCGAAGCAATCGCAAAGTCGCTACTGAGCTAGTTACAGTCAACCCGTATTGCAAGGATGCGAGAGAAGGATGCAAGAGCCTTGGAAGGCCATGTAGACACTTTGCGGGCGGGGCGCGGCCAGCGAAAGCAGCCAGGGATGGGCCGAAGGGGAAGGATGCAAAGGTAGCCTTGGAATGTTGCTCATCCTTACCATGCGAGCTGAAAGTATACAGGACGCAGGTGCTTTCCCAATCGAAGCAATCACCAACTCGCGACTCAATTCCTCTGATACGGAGGTGTCTGTGAGAGGCAAGCGTCGCGTTGCCTGCACAGTGCGAGCTACATAACACGTCACAAGACTGTCTGCTCATAATCGCCACTGTGGGCCAACTGCAACTGCATACGCGTCCCTTCAGCGGTCCAGTAAGGGTCGCATGATCAATTCCCACATGTATTTTTCCGCGCAGGACGGGAGGGAGAATCGTAATCCTTTCTGGCAGTGGCGGTGACGAGTGACTGGAAAGACGCTGTAGTTGTGCCCATTCCGACGTATGTACAGCAAATCGCGCGCCTGCCGGCTTAAAACTTCCATTCCAAGAGATGGCGGAAAAAAGAATCATCTTGTAACAAATCTCACGCAACCCTAAGACCACTGACCCAACTGGATGCTGCCACACCACGACGACACGCACCGTTGATCGTAAACTGCTCAACCGCTTTGTCGCACGCCCGCAGACACCAACGACCGTAACTCTGGTGAAACTCCCGGGTCGGACTCGACTCTTGAGGCGATACAATTCCTGTCCGCAGCTTCAGCGGTTGCCGACACCCCTAACCCCCCTCACCCCGCCACATAAAAGTTGCACGAATGGTGGTCGATTCTTTCACCAGACCTTTCACGCAAGCGTTCTTCGAAACAATGGTACGCGCATACATGTACGACAACTCAAATTTTCTACAGATCTGGAATCGTATGTTTGGCCTGCCCTCCTGGATATTCAAAAATTCTGGGCGCCGAGGGTGGCGGAAAGATGTCAAGTGCCGGGTGTGAATACACGGGGAAGCATGGGCAGCCTGAATGTCTAAGCCCGAGTGCCCCGAGAGTACCAACCCCCGTCCCTCCTTCTCCTTCCTGCCCCCCTCACGCCACGGCAGCGCACTTCCTCAGCAAGAAGCAAGATGCTCAAGACCACGTCCTGGAACGGGCCACTCGACAGCAGCTTCGAGGGGCCACCGCAGTGATCACACATGCCTCGAAAGGCACTGGGAGCTCCGCTGGAGGAGAGGGTTGGGCGTCTCGCCGCGACCCCACACGATGACAACCGAGCCCGACCGACCCCAGTTGGTATATCATATACCAACTGGGGTCGGTCGGGCTGCGGTTGTAGCACAGAGGCAGCACAGAGGCATATAATATGGCAGATGTAGCACAGAGGCAGCACAGAGGCAGCACAGAGGCAGCTCAGAGCCATATAATATGGCAGGTGCAGCACAGAGGCAGCGGTTGTAGCTGAGTCTGCCGACGGCCTCACTTGGCAGCCAAGAGGCAACCGCCGAGGAAGCTTTCAAGTCGGATCCCTCGCGGGTTCGCGCCTCGTGAGGCTGCGGGACCGCAGACCGCTGGCGGCACCCTGCCCCGGAGGCCTTGACTTCAAGCATGGGCTCCGCCGGGGGGCAGGGTTCTGGGCACTGCGCCGCGAACCCACATGGACAGCACAGAGGCTGCCCACTTCATCAGTCTGGTCTGGCTGCTTCAGGTCTGGGCTCCGCTGGAGGCGAGGGTTGATCACTGGGCCGCCAACCCAGCAGACCATCGCGGAGGCGATTCACTCCGCCACCGAGGGATAGCTACTTCAAGGTCGGGTTCCCCTGGGGGAGAGGGTCGGGCACTGCACCGCGAACCCACATGCTGGTCGCGTAGGCTACCCTCATCGCCACCGCGAGCCAGCTCCTTCAGGTCTGGGCTCCGCTGGAGGAGTGGGCTGGACGCTGTGCCGCGAACCCTCGCGAACACCAAGAGCCAGCTGCTTCAAGATTGGGCCCCCTTGGAGGCAGTGATTGGGCCCTGCGCCGCGATCCCCGCGTGTACACCACGGACTCGCTGCTTCAAGCCAGAGCGGGGCGGCGACCCCTCCACGCGTCCCAGCCTGCTCGGGCGAGCGAAAGTGGACCCTCCCCGGGAGGCATCCGTGGGGGGGGGACCACAAAGGCCCCAGCCACCCCGCGGGGCGCCTGCAAGAGAGAGCCGTCACCAGCGAGTTCCTGTCGAGACGCGTGTCGCTGGCCTTGAGCAGCAGATCGTGCGCAGGCAGACTCGAGCCATCCTCGTGTGGTGCGACGCGGCTCACCGAGGTCGTGAACGGTTGCGCACCTGCAGGAGGGGAAATTCGTTACATGCGAACCCGCATGTTCACCACGGACTCGATACTTCAAGTCTGGGCTGCATTGGAGGAGAGGGTTGGGCCTGCGTGTCGACTCTGAGGGCGAGCCTATGTTCGATCAAGATACTTCAAATATGGGCTCTGCTGGAGGAGAGAGTTGGGCCTGCGCCACGAACCCACATGTTGTTCACAGATGTACACCACTTTGACTTCGTAAGCTAGCTACAACAAAAGTGGCTCCACAGGAGAAATGTGTTGGGCACAGTGACGCGAACCCTCCTGCACACCACGGACTCGCTATTTCAAGCCTGGGCTCCAATGGAGGAGAAGGCTGGGCCTGCGCCGCTAACCCGCATGTGCTTGGCCTGGAGAGCCTCGACTGGAGAGTGCTCGACTCCGACGTGGGCAACGAGCTGCTCTTAGATTTCGAGGCCCGAGAAGCCACGTTCCGCGGGCGTTCGGCCGCGGCGGCGGCGGCGCCGCGCGTGGAGAAGCGACAGCGTCGCGATCCGCGTCCCCGCGTCCGCCCCTCCCCGTGTGAATTACACTCCGTACGACATACTCCCTTGATGTGACGACAGGGACTCGACGTCAGCTCTAGCACTCGTAAATGAACAAGGAATGAGCGCCCCCAAAGACGCGATCCTGGCGCAAACTTGCAACTGATCCGTGCTATACTGCACTGTGCTGCGCCATGCTGTGTTAAACTGTGCTGTGTTCCATTGCGTTGTGGACCAAGGCGTCATTGGCATCCGAATCCAGACAGAACTGATCTAGATCTTATGCTCGAGCTCTCTGAACACATAGCTCGGCCAGAGCTGGTTGCAATCGAGACGTGCGGGGTGCTCAACAAACTCGAGCTCAAGACTCGATTCAGTTCCGAGACGGGACGAACTAACAGGGGGCGAACCCGGACCGAAGCGAGACTCACCGACAGTGGACGGACCGAAATGCGGCGAACCAACACCCAACAACGTGAATCAAGACAATCCGAAACAATGCGAACCGATATGAAGGCCGAATCGCCTGAAAAACAGGTAGGTTCAGCTCACGGGCGAAAAGGAACCATGTAGAACACACATGGTTTCAGCTCACGTGCGAGGAACCCATGCAAAACTCCCTGGTAGCAGGACCCCATGTAAACACACACACACACACACACACATAGTCCAACCAGCCCTATGGGCGTAGCTGGTTTAATTAGTTTTGTCTTAGTTCTTACATGACCCTGTTTCCCTCTACCCCCTCCTGTGGGCCAGGGAGGGTGGGAGGGGGGCCGCGAGGCGCTACAGCGTCCAAGATGGACCAAGACGTCCCCGAAAGGGCCTCAGAGAGCCCAAGATGGCCTCCAAGATGGCCCACGATTGCCGAGCATGGTTCAAGATAGCCTCCGAAATACCTCTAAGAGGCCCAAAGACAACCCTAAGATGGTTCCAAGCAGGCACACCCAAAGAGGCCCAAATCCTTCACAAACCTAGGGAAAACACATGGGTGCAGCTTTCTCGCTGTTTTGCTTCTGATGGGCGTGTGACGCCTTAAGAAATCGTGGGGGGCAGGGGTAGGGTTCGCATGTGGCCTTCTATCTTCCTTCTCCCCTCTCGGCGGCAGGCTGATTCCGAGCTCGGGCTGAATGGCTGACGCACACGGGTGGTCCACAAAATGCTCCTGCACTTCAATGATCAGGACAACTCGCCTGTCGATCGTTTCTTGATGGGCTGAACAGGATACGCGAAGAATCAAGAAATCCACACCGAGAGAGGATGTGCCAATTCACCCCCCTCCCCAGCATCGCCTGCTCCCCCCAGGACCCACGTGATCCACCACCCACGCTTGGTCTACATCTTTCGACGTCTTGGAAAAGGGTGGCAGTTAGTACCGTCGATATTCAACTTCAAGATGCGAGGTAAGGATGCTATACGCGCCGGGCGCCTATGCCAGTGAAATTGCGGCGGCGCCAGGCCTACACCCTTGCCCTCTAGGAGCCAGCAAACAACCTCGCCCAAGGACAAACTAACGGACCCAAGATTCGACGATACCCTCTAAACGTAATCCATCCGCAAGTCGAGTCTGAGATGTAAGAGGACAAGGTGGCGAGGAAGGTGGCAGAGGTTAGGAGCCCCAGCGCACGCACCCGCGGCTCTCACGCGTTGGCCAGCTCGCTGCCCTGGTTGCACCGCGGCCAACAAGGCAAAGACAAGATCAGGACGGTATGGCAAGCAAACATGCAAAATACAACAATACATCGAATGACACACACACAAGCTGCATTCACTACTTGCTCTAGCCGGCCGCCGTCACAACCCCTCACTTGTTTGGATGTGTTGTCTCTCTCTCTCTCTCTCTCCCCCTCTCCCTGGGAGGGCAAGGCGGTGAATCCTCTAAGGGCGGGAGAGTAGGAAGATGAACAGGAGCTGGCGTGGGATTGCCCAGGCTCCACCCGTTGCCTGGTCCGCCCCCTGGGCATTCGGAGGCAAGAGCGTCCGTGGGCCGCGCCTCCCAGTACAGCACCTGCTGGCCTATGGGGCGCTCCTGGCGGCAACCGCGGCGCCAGGGGTGGAGGACGCAGGGTGGCCCGACGGAGACAGAACACTGCGCGGAGGGCGACGGGGCAATGCGGAAGATGGGAGGAGCAAGACAGGAGGAAGAATTTAGGAGATGAAAGAAGGGGGAAGGAGGAAGGGGAAAGAGGCGTAGTTCGAGCATACGAGCAGCGGGCCTTGGTAAGGGCACCAGGGCGTGTAGGTGTTGTGGCGCTGCTGGTGTGCCACCTATTTCGTGGTTATTGCCTCCTCTCTTCTGACACGTCTCCTGCCGTGTCTCGTGTAATTGCCTCTGGCTCGGGCCCACGGCGTCAATTGCCCTTCTCTGGGGCTTGCGCTCCGAGCCCCTGGTCGCCCCAGGTCTCTCTAGGCTTCCTGCTGGTACGCCACCCAGCGAGGCCGAGCAGGCAAAAGGGTCTCCAGGAGAGCCCCGGGAGGCCCCACGAGACTTCCCAGAAGCACCACGAGCCCAAACCGCGCACCACGAATTCCGAATGTTGTGTCAGCCCCATTTGCCCTAAAGATCTGGAGATGCATTTCAACATTGCCCTAGATGCCGCCAGGATGGCCCAAAAGGCGCGCAGTGCTGCCCGAGACGGCCCCAAAAGGGCCCGAGACGACGCCAAGATGATTCAACAAGGGTTCGGGAAAACCACAAAAAGCCCAGCGATGCTTCCAACACGGCCCGAGACGCCCTGAGAGTGCCCAAAGGCCCCAGACGGCAAACATGTCAAACAACTAGATGTTCCCTAGGTTATGCCAGGGGCGTTGGGCTTCCAAGCCGTTTGCTCCCGACCACCGAGTGCGAGAAAGGTTCTGAAGGGCCTCGATATCACCTCGGTCGGCCCAGGACTGCCCCAGGAGTGACCCAGGGCGGCACTGCAGGGCATCTGCAAGGGCGGAAGGGCCCAAGACAGCTCAGGAGCGCCCCAAGGCGACCAAGAGGAACCCTCAGACGAACCACGAGCGCCACACGGCCCAAGGATGCCCCGCGAGGCACTCAAAATGGCCCGAAGGGGCCCCAAGAGAGCCCCAAGTCGGCTCATCCCGAAGGTCCGCCAAGAGGGCAGTAAGAGGTCTCAGGACCAGCCCACGAAGCGCAAGAGCGCCAACATGGTCGAATTTGGACCTTTCGGCCACTGGGTGGCGGCAGTGACTCACATGATGGGTCTTCGGTATAGGCGAGAACGCAAAGGAGAGAGGAAGAAACACGTCGTGTCCGTGATCCCCCAGGACCGTCCGACCGGCTCTCGGGCCCCTCCTTATACTTACTAGCCACGTTTTACTCGGCAACATGTTATAGTAAACCCGCATAGTAAGGATGGGCAACATTCCCGAGGGTTCCCTTGCATCCTTGCCTCCTCGGTCCATCCTTGGCCGCCTCGAACATATTTGAAGCGCCCGCCCAAAGCCCTAGCATTCTTATCGCGCAGCATTCTGATACGGGCGGACTGTACGCTCCTCGCAATAATCTTCAGCGACGGCTGTTTTGGCAAACACTCCTGCATCGGGGATCTTCTGACCCGGGTCAATCCACACCCGGGTCAGTCACCCAAACCCAAACCCGGGCCAATGCACCCAAACCCGAGTCAATGCGAAGGATCCTGCAGGATCCTGCAGGATCCTTCACCCAACCCTGGTCAATGCGACCCTGGCCCTGCGGGATCCTGCAAGATCCGGCGCTCTGACTGACCCCCGTTTGCATTGACCCCCGTTTCTTGAGCCCATACCGCGTATGGGGCGTCTAGATTGACTGGGCCGCATGGAAGGGGACCCGCACACGCAGCACCCGCCTGCACACTCCGGTGTGAGCGGAAGGGGCCTCTCGCACACAGTGACGTGTTCCTTGATGACTACAAGTGAAGATCAACCGTACTTAGTTGATCACGCCGATTGGGCGATTATCACTTGATAGCGCCGAATCGGCGTGAACTCATCTGGCACGTGCAGGCAGACCAGACTGAAGCCCGCCGAGGGGATCCCTGGAAGCTACAGGAAACATGCACAGCCAATGAGGCCTCGCGCTCGTTTGTTTCCGCCGCAAATGCGCCACCAGCACTCCACCGAAGTACGCTGGACAATCAGGGCTCGCTGGACACGATGTCATCGGCAGAGGAAGAGGAGGCGGAAGTGGAGAAGGGGCAAAGGGCGCCGTGCGATGCCCTTCAGCCCAGCCGGCGACCCACGATCCACGATCCACACATGGACAACGCCCAACGATTCCTACGACAGGTCACTGTGCGTTTGGGGTGCTCCCGCGGGTCGCACTGGGGGGGGGGAGATCGCAAGTGGGTCACGGGGCGACGACGACAACGAAAACCCGCTACAGCCATGCGTCTAGGGATACGTGGTGTGAGACCGTCGGACCCCTCCACTGCGTTTGTTGGAATGAGAATATTATTGGCCAGCTGTTCGAATACTGGCATGTGTCTGAGCATGCCGAAAAGATATCGAGGCAAATTGGTAAACTGTCGGACTCGGTTATCGCGCTGTTTCTCATAACACAAACAGCCATGTCGGCGTCCCGCCTCTACCAGGACGGTTGGTTGACGAGAACGCAAGTATACTTCAGGCAGTGGCGCTTTCCGCGCACAAAATCAAAGCATCGTTTCCTGAAGCACTGCGTAACCGTCGCTTCCTCGTCCAATGTCATACTCTTCCACAGCTTGTTGATTAGGTTTCACGGCTGGCGAGCTCGGCGGCTGCGGAGCCGCCAGGAAACCGCGGCTCCTTCAGAGCCGTCGCGTCCCAGAACCGGTTGACCTCAGCGCGACCAGTGGTCATCCCCTCCCGCCACCCGCTCCCTGTCCCTCATCCCGCCCCCTCCCCGCCGCATTCTTGACGGTACTCCCTTCCCAATGCTCCTCCCCACTCTACTTGCACATGCCTTCAGCTCTTCTCGGGCGTTGGCAAACTGGGTTTAAAGGGACATGGTTTAGTGATGTGCACTGGGGGACGCCTCCCCGCCCCATTCCACGAACCAGCACTGCCGTCACCCGAAGAAAACACCAGCTGCGGCAGACCTGGTTTAGTGATTCTCGCCAATGTAGGGGCTCCGGGGCCCTACTACTATCGGGAGCGGCCACGAGGGGGGTGTCCAAGAGGGGGTGCAAATCATGACCAGCGGCATGTGCGCGGCCCAGCGGGGGGGCAGGGACGTAATGGAATGAGAAGAGGCGCCATGAAATCTGCGGAAATATCATGGCCCACGCCATGATATCCACCCCCCCTAGCCATCAGCCCCCTCTTTGCCGCCCCCTACTACTAACCGGGTCCCCCTACGCGGGGTCCTGCCCACACCCGATCCTCCTCCTGCTCCACGTCTCCCTTCTTGGGGGGCGGAAAGATACGGATACGTGTTGTCCCCGGACCTCTCTTGGGATGCGTTCTGACCAGAATTTCGAGGCGAATCCAGCGGTGACAACGAGGATTCCCCAGGAGGACCAGGAGAGGCCGAAAACGACGGGGGACAACACGTATCCGTATCTTTTTCTCCCCCGACCTTCACATTCCCTCCCTCCGGCCGTCTCCCTCGCCTGCGCTCCACGAGCGCGAGACGACGTGGCCTGCGAGCCACCACCGAGGCTCGGTCGGCCGCCCAGCGGGCGGCCCGGGCGTGAGGCACTGGCCATTCTCTGTGAGGACGCGCCCTCCTCCGTCTCCTCGCCCACCACCCTTTTCCTCCGCCTCCGCCTCCGCCTCCTTCTCCGCCTCCGCCTCCTTCTCCTTCTCCGCCTCCTCCTCCTCCTCCTCCTCCTCCTCCTCCTCCTCCTCCTCCTCCTCCTCCTCCTCCCCCTCTTCCTCCTCCCTCCTCCTATGATCATCACCCTAATCCTCATCCTCATCCTCCTCCTCCTCCTCCTCCTCCTCTTCAACATCATCCTGATCCTCATCCTCATCATCAACATCATCATCCTCATCCTAATCCTCATCATCACCATCATCATCATCATCATCATCATCATCATCATCATCATCCTCATCATCATCATAATCATCATCATCAGCAGCATCATCGTCATCATCATCATCACCATCATCAGCATCACCATCATCCTCATCATCAGCATCATCAGCATTACCATCATCCTCATCATGATCATAATCACCATCATCATAATCATCCTCATCAACCTCATCATCCTCCTCATCATCATCATAATCATCATCATAATCATCATCTCCATCCTCATCCTCATCGTGAGCGTCCTCATCCTCATCAACATCATCATCGTCGTCATCATCATCACCATCATCCTCATCCTCATCAGCATAATCATCATCATCAGCATCATCATCATTGTCGTGATCATCATCATCATCACCACCAACATAATCCTCATCCTCATCATCATCATCATCGTCATCATCATCAGCATCATCATCGATATCATCGACGTCATCATCATCACCATCATCCCCATCATCAACACCATCATCAGCAGCATCACCATCATCATAATCATCATCATCACCATCATCATGATCATCATCCTGATCATCCTCATCATTATCGTCACCATCATCATCATCACCATCATCACCATCATCGTCAACATCATCATCACCACCATCACCATCATCATCATCACCATGAGCATCACCAGCATCATCACCATCATCGTCAACATCAAAATCATCAACATCACCATCGCCATCATCATCACCATCATCATCGTCATCATCATCATCATCATCATCCTCCACATCGTCCGCCGCCTCCGCCTCACCCGGCAAATCCACCCCCTAAGCTCTTCCATTCCTTCGCCGCGCTGCCTCCTTGAAGGCTGCTGCAATCCATGGACGGCCCCACAGGTGTCCCGCGAAGTTCCTGGAGACGCCCGGGGGAAGCTCCCGAACGCATCCTGGAAGACCCTGGGGCCCTCCCAGGGAGCCCCTTGAGGTTCATCCTGGGGGGGCCCAAGATGCGTTCCCTGGGTGGCACCCTGGAATCAGCCGGTTAGGAATGTCCTGGGAACCAGTGTAAATGTACGGTGAGTCCTTTGGGCGTCCGAGGCTCCCTGAACGGAAGTCCCATGGAGGCACCCTAAAAGCTCCTCCTGCGTCTTCAGAGGCACTGCAACTAAGGTGTCCCACGGAGCCCACGAGAACCATTGGAACTCTCTCAGAAGGTGCCTGGAAAATAGCAGGAAATCCTCTGGACAAATCTGGAAACGCTCTGCAAGCTCATGGGAGCCGCTGAGACCTATCCGCGAACTGCACTCTGGCCGCGAACTAATCGCGCTTCGCGCATTTCAAACCCACCAGGGGAGCAGTCCACTTCAGATTGGTGCCCAGGGCCAATGCAATGCAAAGAGCTTCATGCCAACCGCGACCCCGTTCTGCCAGGTCAGGGGCCTAGACCTCGAGCATCTGAGATGCCAGCAGCCTCATGCATGCACCTCCCCTGTACCGCAAGCTGGGCGCACTTCCCGCGTCAACCACCGTGCGGTCGCGTCATGACCGTCGCGCGAAGTGGACGCCGAGACCCTCAGGCACTCGGGGATCTACTGACCCGGGTCAATGCAAACCCGGATCAGTCAGACCCTGCAGCATCCTGCAAGATCCTGCAGATCCGCAGGATCCCAGACATCAGGCTGCTCAAATTTTTGGGATTCGTGGCCCCTGGAGGTCTGGACCACTTCCCCAGGGCCGTTCTTTCGTCAGGAGCCGTTGTTTGACCGTCCCGAGGCCCGGCGAGAGCCCTCAGAGGCAGAAAACTTACCAAAAAAGGCCGTCCGTCTCCAATTCTTCCGGAGCGTCGAATCTCTGGGATCCTGCACCCAAGCCCGGGTCAATGCAATCCTGGCTCTGCAGGATCCTGCAATATCCTGCGCTCTGACGACCTCCGTTTGCACTGACCCCCATCACTTGAGCCCTCAGGGCACGCGCGGCCGCTGCGCGCCGGCGCGTCGCGAGGCGAGTCGCCTCAGCGCTGGCCACCGCAGGTAGCACCGCGACCACGCCGTGCGACGAAGTAATTTGCGGATGGTGGGCGAAAGCTGATGGGTCGATCTCCCACCACCACTACCATGGGTAGGAGGAGGAGGAGGAGGAGGAGGAGGAGGAGCAGGAGAATCTCCCCATCCTCCTTTATCCCCCGTCCTAATTACCTATGGCAGTTGTGGTGGAAGACAGGGCTGAACCTAAACGGTGATTTTCGTTTTCGTTTTCCCTCGTTGTGTCTGCAATCCGCCTTTACCGCAAAACGAAGTCGAACCGAAAACGGCCCACGAAAACGCCCAAACACCGTTTAGGTCCGGCCCTGGTGAAGATTGGGCCATCAACAGCGACGCGCAGGCGCGCCGCTTGCCCACCAACGCCCCCGAGCCCGGGCGGCGTCCGCATTTCTAAGGTGCCCAGCGCCGGCACATAACAAGACTGGCGCCCAGGCCCCCTGGGCCCCAGCGCCCCCGCTTTGTGATCCTGCGCATTACAGTCGACCCGTATCACAAGAATGCGCGGTGAGGACACGCAAGGGCCTCGGAGGGCCACGCTAACACTTTTCGAACGAGTCCGGCCAGCGAAAGTCGCTGAGGATGGGCCGAAGGGGCAAAGATGCAAGGGTACCCTTCTGAAGGTTCCCCGTCCTTACTATGCGGGTTGACTGTAGATGGGCCTGTGCAAGATCGCATCAATCGGAGGCGCGCAAACATGGATTAGCGATCCATGGAATTGGCGCGCGGTCGCTAAATCCATGGATCGGGGGAGGTGCCCTCCCCAAAATGCGGCCAGTGCCCCCTCGTTCGGCGGCGGAAATCCGCGGTTTCCCATGGCACCGGGCCCCGTCGCTGATCCACGCCCCCTTGATCCGTGCTTGCGATCGCCTGACAGATTCCGGGAGCTCCCCGGGCTTCCCTGCGAATCTGTCCATGGCACCGTCTGTGCCCCCCCGCACAGTCTCTCGGTCCCGGCACTCGAGTTCCCAGGGGCCCGCGGAGCCTCGTTGCGGCGCAGCTGCCCCAGAAGTGCCCGCCCCAGGACCATGGGGGGGATCAACACGATGGACGGCGAGGAAGAAGCGGGCGGCAACGGGTGGAGGCTGGAACGTCGCCACGACTGCGCACACGGTGTGTTCGCCAGAGTGCGCGATACCGAATATTGTCGCTCGTGATCGCCCGTTGTTAGCGGGGGCGTCTTTTCTGGCTGCCAGTGCCCTGCGCCATCACTGGAGAGTAAGAGTAGTACCGTGGGCAATCTTGGCGCATACTGGAATGCTGGAATGCAATGCTGACAGAAAAAAACGTCAGAGTGAGCATCGTCGAAACGGCCCCTATCCTCATGTACGTGGCCTGGGTCCCGCTGGCCGATTTAACCCCCCTAGGTGGGGACACAGGCTGTTCCGTTCGGGTCTCGAGGGCTATGCCCCCGATTGGGGTGAGATGGTGGGGGTCTGGAAGGGGATCAGGATGGTAGGGGAACAAACAGTGGCATAAACATAATAACTCGGAGGTCCGCGCGGATTCCTCGGATCGGCGCTGGACCCCCCGCCCTGGCGCGCGGAGCGCGCCAGGGGCGGCGCCGAAGGCGCCGCTGGGGGGCCCCAGCACCGATCCGAGGAATCCGCGCGGACCTCCGAGTTATTATGTTTCTGTCATTATTCGCTCCCCTAGCTGTGTCCTCAACTGGGGTGGTGCGATGGTGGGGGTCTGGAAGGGGATGGGGATCTGGAAGGGGGTCTGGGAGGGGATGGGGATCTGGAAGGGGTGGTGGGGGTCTGGAAGGGGATGGGGATGGGGATAAAGGTCGGTCAACCGATCCGAACAAAAGGCCCCCACCTAGCCCTCTCCTTATCTCGGCCAGCTCCTCCTCCCAACGAGTGGGAGAGGGGTGCGGGCGGAGCCCCGCCGCCAGCCGCCCCGGCTCCTCTCACTCAAGCGAGCCCGAAGAAAGGTGTTCCTCCTCCTCTTCGCTCCTCCCTCCGCCCTCCTCCCCCTTCCTCCTGCTCCTCCTTCTCCTTCTCCTCCTCCTCCTCATCCTCCGCCTCCTCCTATTCCTCCTCCTCCTCCGCCTCCCCATCCCCCTCCTCCTCCTCCTCCTCCTCCTCCTCCTCCTCCTCCTCCTCCTCCTGCTCCTGCTCCTGCTCCTCCTCCTGCTCCTTCTCCTGCCCTCCTCCCCCTCCTCCTCCTCCGCCTCCTCCTCCTCCGCTTCCTCCTCACTCTTCCTCCTGCTCCTCCTCTTATTCCTCCTCCGTTGTTTTCCTTATAAATAGCTCCTCCCTGTCGCAACCCGGTGCCAGTCGGAAGGGCGGGCTGGGCGTTTCGCATAAGACTTCCTTCACATCTGACCATGAAACTCAAACATTGGCAACAATTTCACAGATCGAGGGCGGTCCGCTTCCGAAATGTGTCTCTCGCCACGCGCACTCGTTTTAGAATTCGCCAGAGCTTCACGGATTGAGGGCGGGTCGTTTTCGAAATGTGCGCCGCTTCACGGATATTGGGCGGACCTTTTCAAAATTTGGCTCTCACCCTAGCGCCGCGCACACTCGTCTTTTAGAACATGCAAGATTGTCACTGACTCCCATGGTCAAAGTACAAGGTGGAGTTTGGGAACGATCCTTGATTGTCAGGGCGCAAGAGTTACGTTGATTCGCGGTGTTGGACTCCCAGGAATGGTGTTCTGGCACGATTCAGGATCGTCAAGACGCAACAGTCAAGTTGATAAATGGCGTTGGGGTCCCGAAAATGGTGGTCGGGTCCCGAAAATGGTGTTCCTTCAGTGGAAACGACTCCTTTGTATGAGGCGTACGAGGGAGCTCGGAGTGATGGTTTATTCCTACATCGTTGATGAGCCGTTGGTTTACACTGGTCCTCCTCCTCCTCCCCTCCTCCTCCTCCTCCTCCTCCTCCTCCTCCTCTTCCTCCTCCTCCTCCTCCTCCTCCTCCTCCCCCTCCTCATGCTCCTCCTCCTCCTCCTCCACCTCCTCACTCTTCCTCCTCCTCCTCCTCCTCCTCCTCCTCCTCAGGTCGCCCACAGAGGACGCACGCGCCCAACCATGTATATGAAGACGGCCCCCCAACGCTCGAGACCACCGGCGTGATACGAACACTTCGCACAATGCGTACTCTCGAAACCAACGTTGGTTCGTGTACGCGTACGTTGTTTTTGTCGCTCCTGACTCCTCCCTATCTAGGGGAACAGAAAGTGGCATAAACATCAAAACTCTGAGGTCCGCGGGGATTTCTCGGATCGGCGCTGGACCCCCTCCCTGGCGCGCGGAGCGCGCCAGGGGCGGCGCCGGAGGCGCCGCCGGGGGGCCCCAGTCATGGCCGGGGCGGCATGTGCGCGGCCCAGGGAGGGGACTGGGGACGCAAGCAAACGAGAAGAGGCACGAAGGAGTCTGGGGAAATCTCACGGCCCCCGCCTTGAGATCCATCCCCCTCCTAGTCATCACCCCCCTCTTGGCCAGTCCCGCGAGCAGTGGTCCTCCCGTCCTCGGGCGAGATGGGGTTGGAGGATCGCGCCGCATCCTGCCACGCACTGGCGACGGCGGCGACACATCCGCGACGTCGGCGTGAAGCGAATCGGGACCCCCATCGAGCCGCATCGGCGATGCATCGGCGATGCGGCGCGATCCTCCGACCCCATCTCCTCCGACCCCATCTAGGAGGCCTACAGTGGAGGCCATTCCACCAGAAACCTTCCACGAGAGACCCAACCCTGAGACCCCAGGACGTCCATTGATTTTTCGTGTGGGAACGTCGCACCTTCCATCGCAGAACCATGGCAACCCAGGAAACCCAGGGCACCCTGGAGGCAAGCAGGGTTTTTCTTGGCATGGGTTTACACTATACGTCGAATGCTCCGTAGATCTACGGAGCATTCTACGCATCTTTCATACACTCGACGGGCAAATCAATCTTCGGGTATGAATCAACTATGTTGTCGATCCCGTACTAGAAACCTGGACAAGAGTGACCTGTGGTGTGCAGCTTTTCGGGGGCCGCGGGGAGATCGAGCACGAGCGCTCCAGGACGCTCCACTGCAGATGGCCGCCACCGGAAACAGTGGGCCTCCCGCCCTCGGGCGAAGCTCTCTTCCACCGGGCGTGGCGACGAGGCCTCCGGCCGGCCCCCCCCCCTCCCTCAGCCCTAGGCTGGGCATGTCCTCCTGCAGGCAGCTTTTGCAAGGCAAGTACAGTATAGTCCAAACATAAACAGGCATAGTCAAACGGGCACGAAAAATCGCCCTGGACTACTTTTTGTCTGCTACTTTTTGAATGCAATCGAAGCTCAACCACAAGAAACCTTCCACAAGGAACCCACACTGAGACCCCAGGACGCCCAGGGATGTATTGGTGTGGGAACGTCACGCTTTCCATAGCGAAACCGTCAAAACCCAAGAAACCCAAGGCACCCTGGAGGCAAGCAGGATGTCTCTTGGCATGGGTTTCCACTGTAGGTCGGGCATGTCCTCCTACAGGCGGCTTGTGGAAGAACAACAATTCGAAACAAAAATCAGACATAGCCAAAAAGGCCAGAAACATCGCCCCCAGACTATTCTTCTGCTATTTCTTGAATGCAGTAGAAACTCGACCGCAAGACACCTTCCACAAGAAACCCAACCCTGAGACCCCAGGACGCCCATCGGTTTTGTTGGTGTGGGAACGTCACGCTGTCCATCGCAAAACCATGGAAACCCAAGAAATCCAGGGCACCTTGGAGGCAAGAAGGGTGTTTCTTGGCATGGGCTTCCACTGTAGGAGAAAGACTCCCCCATACCTTCTTGTTGGCTCTTGCGAGTCGACGCTCATCAACGCCAATCGACTCTAAATCGACGAGAGCCGACGCTAGATCGAAAAGAGTCAAACAAGTCAACAGCAACAAAAACATAATAAGACATGGCCAAACAAGGCACGACAAGTCGTCCCCAGACTAGTGCTTCCTATTCTCTTCCCAGTCTTGAATATGCTTCCTGCTCTTCCGAGGAAAGACTGCTTTCTTCCTGGTCGCCCCACCCTGCCGACCCTTGAGCACTAGTCAGATTCTGCCTACTCCTCCTATCTCCCCGAGGCAGACTACTTCTTCCCAGTCTTGAAAATGCTTCCTGCTCTTCCAAGGCAGACTGCTTTCTTCCTGGTCGTCCCATCCTGCCTACTCTTGAGCACTAGTCAGATTCTGCCTGTTCCTGCTATGCCAGGGCAAACTACGTCCTCCTACTTCACGACTGCGCCCAGCCCTTCCCAAGCGGCCGCGAGGGGAGGGAGGAGGAGGAGGAGGAGGAGGAGGAGGAGGAGGAGGAGGAGGAGGAGGAGGAGGAGGAGGAGGGGGAGGAGGATCCTTGCAGAGGGCCGTGCCCGAGCCTCGCCCTGGCGCCGCGCCCGGCCGCCGGGCCCCGGGCGAAGGTGGCGCCCCGCAGCCGGTGCAGCTGGGACCGCCAGGGAGCCTCCGCACGCGGCGGGCGGGGAGGCAAGGCAAGGCCACAGATTTGAGTCGGGCCTGTCCCCCTACAGGAGGATTTTCGACGAATAATAATAATAATACTAATAATACTAATAATAATACGACTAATAATAATAATAATACGAATAATAATACTAATACTACTACTACTAATAATAATAATAATAATAAGAATAATAAGGGGGGAAAAAAAACTACCAAATAATCAAAAACTCGTCTAAAAATAGTCTGGGGACTGTTTTTTTGAATAGTGTTTAGCCTTTTTAGGGCATTTTGGGGGTATCTTGCATTTTTCGTAGAAAATCCCCCTGTAGGGGGACACGCCCGCAATAACCATACATCTCGGTCGGATCCGTTTCCGGGCACTGGAGGCCTGTAGCTGGGCACCAACACCAACACAGGGGGGCTGCCTCCACAGGGGGAAGAGGATATCCCAGCTTTTGGTGCTGGTGGTTATTGGTCGGTCACCTTGGAAGCCAGAATATTACCACCATCGCCGGGATCGAATGCTTCTTCCGTCGATGAAGGCACACCGCCGATGTTGGTGTTGCGTGTCAACCTCTAGGCCTGCGAAGGCATACGACGTCCTGTTTTTTTCGACCGGTTTTTCATACTGAGTCATTGTTTGACGGTCCCGAGGCCCGGCGAGGGCTCCCAAAGGCCGAAAACAGCCAAAAGCCTCGCGTCGTGACTTTTTTACAGCGCGATCCTGTCTGGGAAAGCCATAGATCCGATCGGAGTTGTTCCAGGCGGCACTTTTCCCCAAATTCCGGCCTCCGGGGCCCCTCCTGGAGCCCGCGGGGACCCTCAAAAACAGATCCGGGACGACAAGCCACCCCTGGGGGAGGGGTCGCGGATTGAGACTATCATCTTGGCGGATGTCTGGGAAGGGTACGCGCGCGGGAGGGCGACGGGGGGCGAGGGAAACCCAGACTGGACCCCCTCGCGCTGTGAGAAAATCACGCCGGGAAGCTTTTCGGGGCTTCGTAAGCGGGGGTTTGGCTAAACTGGAGCCTTGGCTTTTCCATGTGCCCCCGTTTACTATGCACCCGTCTACGGCGCCCAGGGCCCCCTGAACGGGGGCACAGCTAAACGTTGAAATCGGCGCTCCCCGTGCCCCCGTTTGCTGTGCCCCCGTCTCTGGCGCCTCGAGTTTTTCGCCACTCCAGGCTTCTTGATAAGCGTGGGGGTACCCCTCCGACGGGGGTCAACCTCGCCTCGTCGTCGCGCCGCGACGGGGGTTGGAGCGCCTTCGGGGCGCGGTGGCTGCCCGCGACGGGGGTCGATGTGGGGCTGTCGGCGGGGGTGACGCCCCCCGACGCTTGTTGAGAGACTCTGAATATTCTGGGCCTCGAGGGGCCCTCTCCGGGCCCCGGGACCGTCAAGGAATCAAGGAACGACTCGCGGGATGAAACACCGATCCCAGAGGAAGGGGTCCAGACCTCCGGGGAGCAAATCCTGGCGCCGCAATTTTTGCCACGACGGGCGGGTTGGCCCCGTGTCGGGCCCGGGGACCCTCGCGGACCGATGCGGCTCGAAAAATGACGCACAGAGATGGGTTCTGGGGCTCCGGTCGTAACTTTCTGCGATGTGCAATTTTCGGCACCGTCGGATCACATGGTGGGCAAATTTTCCACCACCACTACCGTGTGTGGGACGGGGAAGGAGGGAGGATAAGGAGGTCATCCTCCTCCTCCTCCTCCGCCTCCTCCTCCTCCTCCTCCTGCTCCGCCGCCGCCTCCTCCTCCTCCTCCTCCGCCTCCTCCTCCTCCTCCTCCTCCGCCTCCGCCTCCGCCTCCGCCTCCGCCTCCGCCTCCGCCTCCGCCTCCGCCTCCGCCTCCGCCTCCGCCTCCGCCCGCCTCCGCCTCCGCCTCCGCCTCCGCCTCCGCCTCCTCCTCCTCCTCCCTCTCCTCCTCCTCCTCCTCCTCCTCCTACTCCAACTGCTCCAACTGCTCCTCCTCCTCCTCCTCCTCCTCCTCCTCCTCCTCCTCCTCCTCCTCCTCCTCCTCCTCCTCCTCCCCCCTCCCCTCCTCCCCCTCCTCCTCTTCTTCCTCCCCTCCTCCTCCTCCTCCTCTTCCTCTCCTCCTCCTCCTCCTCCTCCTCCTGCTCCTGCTCCTGCTCCTCTCCCCTCCTCCCTGCTCCTCTCCCCTCCTCCTCCCCCTATGCGCCCTCCCCCCCCCCTTCGCGTGCCGCGCCTCCCGTATGGGCACCCACAGGTGCACCTGCGGCGCCCGGCGGGGGGAGGGGGGGGGCAGGGCCAGGCGACGTACGACAGGCGCCGCTGGGCCGTGGGCGCACAGCGAGGCGCAGGGCGCGCCCCGCGTCGTCGTCGTCGTCGTCGTCGCCGCCGTCGCCGCCGCCGCCGCCGCCGCCGTCGTCGTCGTCGTCGTCGTTGTTTCCGCCGCCGCCGCCGCCGCCGCCGCCGCCGCCGTCGTCGTCGTCGTCGTCGTCGTCGTCGTCGTCGTCGTCGTCGTCGTCGTCGTCGTCGTCGTGGTCGTGGTCGTGGTCGTGGGCCGTCGCGGCCAGCGTGGCCATCGCGTGGAGCGCGGCTCTGTGGCCACGGCGTAAGGCGCCGTGGCCAGGGCTTGCACGCTCCTGGCTACGGTGGAGGCCCATGCCAAGAACCCCCTGCTTGCCTTCAGGGTGCCCTTGGTTCCTTGGTTTTGATGGTCTTGCTATGGAAAGCGTGACGTCCCCACAACAAACAGCAACTGACGTCCTGGGGTCTCAGGGTTGCCGACTGCGGTATCGGCTTCTGACACCGCGTGGATCCTTCGATCTTGCACGATCTGAACGTGGCCGCGGCGCAGGGCGTGGGGTGAGACGAAACCAGGACAAAGATGAAACCGGGTGATGCTAAATCGAGAACGTCTGATATCCGGCGGCTCTTGAGGCTCGGGCGCCGCGGCCCTCTCAGAGCGCTCTCAGAGCGTTCTGGAACGCTCGGAACGCTCGGAAAGCGTTCCCGAACGCTCTGGAACGGATTTATCTTCGTCCTAGCCCCGTCCGATGGGGCCAGGGTTCGCACGCTCCTGGCTACCAATGATGTGGATGGTTCCGTTCACACTCGCGCACAGGAGGAGAAATGCTACCAGGCCAAGGGGTCCCAGATGACATGAGCCCACAATGACTGTGGGACGCGCGAGTGGTAGGCAAAGCAGCAGTAGAGGCAAAGCGGAAGGATCGAGGGGAGGAACCAGACGCAATACGACTCCCCGTCAACTTGGTGCCAAGCCACCTGTTTGATGAGAAGCCCCATGGACTTCAGGACTTCCTCCTCTTCAGTCGTCTTTCACGGGATGCGATCCTGAATTGACCCTCATCCTGCGCCTTCATCATTTTGGAGGCGCGCACACGGGAGTGGAGGGAGGGGGGAAACCATCTTAGAAGGAGGCTGCTTCTTAGAAGGGGCCAACCGTACATCTACAGAGAAGGCCCACGCCTTCTAAGCAGGGGTGCTTCTAAGAAACCCTCCCCCCTCCCCACCCCCCACCCCTGCGCGTGGCTGAATTCCGCGCCTTCATCACTATCTCTCTCCGTGTCATCCTTTACCCACCATCTTCCACCGCCTCCTGCTCGTCGCACCCGTCCTCCCCCCACTCCTCTGAGGGGCAACGACATGGGGGGGACTGGCATATGGTAGGGAAGCATCGACCTGGAATCGGCGATGCATCGCCGAACGATCGGCAGTAGGCTCCCCCCTGCCTCCCATTCCCCCTCTCGCCTGCGCCCCCCAGTGTTCCTCCCCTTGCTGCCCCGCTATCTACAACACACCTGCCGAACGAGACGCCCCCCCCCTGCAACAGATGTAGAGTTAGATCGGGCGTGTCCTCCTACAGGCGGGTTCTGGAGGAAAGATAAAGAATAGTCAAAGAATATTCAAGAACAGTCAAACAGTATTCGAAAATTTGTCCCCAGACTATATTTGTATTATTTTTGAATACTCCTCCTGTAGAGAGATATGCCCGACTTGATGGCGGGGGTCCACCGCGGCGATGTCCCCCCGGGCTCGGCCAGAAGCGGGCCGGAGAGAGGGGTACTGGGCTCCTACGTAATTCCTCGAGGGTCGAGGAGGGAATTTGCGCTTCCCGCCCTTTTCGGGCCTCTGGAGACCTCCGGGGGCCTCCAAGGACCTCCGTGGGTCAGGAACCGGGGCGGGAGCGAAACTTAATAGACTGGGCTCCCGCACAGCAAATCCTTCCTCCTCCTACTCCTCCTCCTCCTCCTACACCTCCTCCTCCTCCTCCTCCTCCTCCTCCTCCTCCTCCTTCTCCTCCCTCCACCTCCTCCTCCGCCGCCTCTTTGCCTCCCTTCCACCTCCTCCTTCGCCGCCTCCTTCTTGCCTCCCCTCCTCCTCCTCCTACTCCTCCTCCTCCTCCTCCTCCTCCTCCTCCTCACCCGCTCCTGCCCACCACAAACCTCACGGCGGCTTTCTGCGAAGGTGCCAGCGACGCCGCGACGCGCGCACCGACGAGCAGGCCGGCCAGCAGAGCGCTGCACGCCGGCGCGCGATCCGCGCCTTGCGAAAGCGGCTCACGATGCGCTCCAGCGACTGGCCCACGACGTGCTCGAGGTACCTCGAGGCCGCAGGGCGACCGCCGTCTGGCGACCGAAGCTCCGGGGTCTGGGGAGAGCAAAAGGGCACCGATACTCGGGCGCGGCCAAGAGGGGGGTGTCCAAGAAGGGGGGGGTCAAATCATGACCAGCGGCATGTGCGCGGCCCAGCGGGGGGCCAGGGACGCAATGAAATAAGAAGAGGCGCCATGAAATCTGGGGAGATATCATGGCCCCCGCCATGATGTCCCCCGCCCCCTAGTCATCACCCCCCTCTTTTCCGCCCCCGAGATACCGCTACTCTGGGAAACCTCCCCCGGGGAGCCAGTCTGGCCAGAGCTTCGGGGCGCCTCTCCGGCGGTGGCGCCGAGGGCCTCCCCCAGGAGGCGCCCAAAAAGGAGGGGGAAAGCGCGCGGAGGGGTAGCGGTGCGGGTGCCTGCCCCTCCTCTGAGGATCGGGGGTTCTCGGAAAGGGTTCGCCCCATGGATTATGTGGTTCCCATCGCACTTCAGGACCACATCCCAGAAATGCTTCCGAGCACCCGGTAAGTGTCGAAACGGTGTCGAAACAGTGTCGGACAAGTGTCTCCCTGGGCCCGGCGCGTGAAAACCCTCGAGTTTCGGTACCTGTTTGGTGCTCGAAAATTCTGTCGAGTGGTCAGGGCGACAATAGGTGGGAACATCATACCTCATGGAGCCTCCGGGAGGCCAGCGGCGGCCTCCGAAAAAATCTTTCGGGTGGTCAGGGCGACAGTAGGTGGGAACAGCCTACCTCATGGAGCCTCCGGGAGGCCAGCGGCGGCCTCCGAAAAAATCTTTCGGGTGGTCAAGGCGACAGTAGGTGGGAACAGCCTACCTCATGGAGCCTCCGGGAGGCCAGCGGCGGCCTCCGAAAAAATCTGTCGGGTGGTCAGGGCGACAGTAGGTGGGAACAGCCTACCTCATGGAGCCTCCGGGAGGCCAGCGGCGGCCTCGAAAATTCTTTCGGGTGGTCAGGGCGACAGTAGGTGGGAACAGCATTCGGCGGTGGACAAACTTCCCTTTAGTAGACCTCCCCTTAGTGAAAACGGCCTGGGGCCGAGACCGACGGACCTGGACCCGCAAAAATGACGGCCGCGACGCGCTCTCGCGAACCGAAAACGGCCAATTCCTTAATCGGCGTGTCAGGGCAGGAGGCCTGTCCACCCCCGAAAACAGGGTGTCTGCATTGAAACGTTCCTCCTCCTCCTCCTCCTCCTCCTCCTCCTCCTCCTCCTCCTCCTCCTTAATCGACGCGTCAGGGCAGGAGGTCTGTCCACCCCCGAAGCATAGCTCACGGAGCCTCCGGGAGGCCAAGCGGCGGCCTCTTGGAGAGCCGCGGGCGCCCGCGGAGGGCCTCGCGGGGGGGCCCTCCCCCCTCGAGGCCCAGGGCGCCCACCGGAGGCGCCGCCGCGGTCGCGCGCTGGCGCTGGGGAGTGGATCGGGCGTGTCCCTCTGCAGGAGGAGTATGCAAAGATGGGCACGGAAGTTTCTATCTTTGCATTTGGAACGATAATATGGAAAGTTCGTTTATGGAAAGAATCTATCTTGTCAACTATGCAGAGATAGTATGAAACGATTCGTCTACAAAGTTTGGCTACTTTTGAACACGTGTTGGCTCTGTTCTGATTTTCGCCCAAAATTCGCCTGCACAGGAGGAGTATACAGAGATGGTCACAGAATTGTCTGGGAACGATCCGTCTACACCAAGTTTGGCCACTTCTGAACACGTGTTTTTTTTTTCGCCCAAAATTCGCCTGTAGGAGGGCGTGCACGACCTCACTCTGGAGCGAACAAAAACACTCCACCACCCACCCCTCCTGCTCACCTCGGGATTTGGAGGCTTGGAAATGGGCACCAACACCAGCACAGGGGGGTGCTTTCACGGGAGGAAGATCATCTTAGAAGTTGGTGTTGCCGAGACCAGGATCATCTTCCCTCGGTGGAGGCACACCTCCGATATTGGTGTTGGTGTCAACCCCTAGGCGGGCGACAGGAGCTGGCCTCGGCAACTCACTGATGGCGCTGACGCCCCTGATTTGCAGCACTCTCACAGAATGGTCCTCATGCCTGCTGTTGCGGGCCGCTACCGACATGCACTATCTACTATCTGCGTCGCGTCGCAAAGCTGCGGGTGATTACTCGCCTTCGCATCATGAGTGCACGCTCTCGGTCGATACGACCTCAGAGGCTGCTTGAGCTGACATCCCGGTCGAGGGTCAGCTCTCTGGAAAGAGCGACACTGAGAGCAAGGCGCGGCTGCCCCGCCGCCAGTCGCTTCGCTCCCGGGTGGGCTCCCAGGTCCTCTTGCCAGGGCCTGTGGCCGGGGAGTCCTTCTGATCTGCTGCTCTATCTCTCATGGCCAGAGCTGTTGATCTGGGACTTCCCGTCGCCACCCTCCCAGGCCGACCACCGCCAACCCTTCCGAGCATCGCAGGGCGTGCTCAGAATCTGTCCCCAGACCTTTGTGGGCCCCGGAAACGGCAGGGCCGTTTTTTCACCGTTTCCAATAAAAAATGTCCCTTGAAAAAGGAAACGGTAAAAAAACACGGCGACCGGAAACGGCGAAAAAACGGCTCCAGGATTGGAACCGGAGCTGGAACCCGTCAAAAAACGGCGACGGAACCAGTAAAAAAAGGCGTCGGAACCGACAACAAAACGGCAAAACGGAACCGGTACAAAAAACGGCCCTGTCGTTTCCAGGGTCCGCTAAACCCCAGGCCCCTCCTGGGGCCCGGCCTGGTGCAGATCTGCACACACCCCGGATCCAGTTTGGAAGGTCTCCGGGGCCCGCACACGGCCCCCGAGCGGGTACGCTCGCACCGAGCCTCCCGGCATCAGCGATGGCGGCGAGACGACCACCGCGTGCGAGCTGCTGGGCAGAAGTGCTGGCCAGGCGATGTGCGCCCACAGTGAAGGGGCCCTGGGACACCCAAATGAATACACACCATCATCAGGAATCACATAAATTTTCCCATGTTTTCTGGGTTTTTGTCTTCCCCACCACTTCCCATATTTTCGGGGCACTGACGATTAATTGTGTCTGTGTGTTTTTTCCCTCCCGAAACAGCAGCCAGCACCCTCAAAGAGAGAACTTCCTGCCGACGGCCCTGACTACGCGCTGCGCAGTGCCCGCAAACCGGCACGATTGGAGTGCGTCTCCGCGCATCAGTCGGGGATGGATAGACCCCCCTTTAGTAAAACGTGGTTTAGTGAAAACGGCCTGAGGCCCAAACCTGGCGGGCGCAAGCCTGGAAAATAACGGCCATGGCGCCATCTCGAGAACCGAAAACGGACAATTCACTAATCGACGTGTCACTGTTGGGGGTTCTGTCCACCCCCGAATCAGCACTGGCAGCGCGGGGAGTCACCGAGTGCGAGCGGCCACGCCCGAAGGTCGGCCGGAAGCGCTGGCAGAACTGCCGGCGCCGTGCGAGATCTGCACCGTTCGCGAGCCAGCACGCTCGGGCAAGAGTTTCCCTGCCGACAGCACTGGCCCTGCGGTACGCCGTGCTCGCGAAGCAGAACCATTTGAAGGGGCCCCAGGACACACCAATAAATACACACAAATAACAGGATTCCCCATAATTTCTCAGATTTTCTGGGTTTCTGTCTTCCCCCCCACTTCCCATATTGTCCCATATTTTCTGGGGGATCGAGGATTAATTGTGTCTGTGTGTTTCTTTTCCTCCTGACATCGGAGCGCGCTTCCTGGCGTCAGCGTCGGCAGCGTGACGATCATAAGGCGCGGTCGGGCACGCCAGGAATAAACTTCTCGGCGAGATAGTTGGCAGAATGGCTGGCCATGCGGAATGTACCATACGCCAGCCGGCACGCTCTGTAAAGACTTCCTTCCGACGACGCTGGCGGTGCGATGCGCGGCGACCGCGAAGCCGCACGTACTGAGGACAACAACGAGGATGACGGCCACAAGGAGGTCTCCGGATATCCAGAACAAATCCTAACAGCAAGCTTGGAGTGAGCTTCCCGTCGACAACGCTTGTATTTGGATGCTCGGTTCCTTCAGGCCAGCTCACATTGCGTGCACGTCCTGGCAGCAACACTAGCATTAGGTGGGGCATGTCCTCCTACACGCGGATTTTGAACGAAAAATCAAGAATAGTCAACAAATATTAAAAAATAGTAGAATCGCAAAAATCGTCTCCATATTATGTTTTGACTATTTGGGAATGTTCCTCCTGCAGAGGGACGCGCCCGACTTAACCCTGGCAACGTGAAGCGCAATGGAAACAGGCCGCCACGTGCGCGGAACTCACGGGAGGGGCACCGGACCGCCAACAACACTCTTTCCCTCGTCGTCGCCGTGGCAGTCGTCGTCTCATGGCGGCGCTGCTCTCTTCGCCGCTGGCCGGACCGCCAACAAACTGTGTTTCACTCGCTGTCGCCGTCGCAGTCGTCGTCTCGGTGCGGCGCTGCTCCCTCCGCCGCCGGGGAGGCAGGAGGGAGGCGAGCTCGTAGTTGACGTTCATGGTTCTGCACTGTTTGGGGCGTTCTCGGCCTGCCCCCCCCTCGCTGCTCCCGCGGCCGCTGCTCCCCGCGACCTCCCCGCCCTGCAGCCGAACAAAGGCGTCTGCCGAGCGCCCCCCGGGCAGCTCGAGCGCCCATGCGGACTGCCTCTGCGAGGCTGCGGCGGAGAAAAGGTTGCCGGCCTCTGGTGGCGCTCTTGGGCCCCGGGGCCGTCGGGCATCGGTCTTGGACTCTGGGGAGGGATGAGCCCGACGGGTGGAAGAGCCGAACCACATGGGTTTTGGGAAGGGGCCATGCCCCGCGGGGGTGCTTCAGGCGGTTTGCGCAGCGTTAATTCCTCTGGGTCGTGCGCTGTCTTTCGGGCTGCACGCATCCACTGGGACGCACGGAGGAGAGATGAGGACGATGGATGTGCGCTTCCTCTTTGGGTGAGGAGGAGGACGACGACGAGATGATGATGATGATGATGATGATGATGATGATGATGATGATGATGATGATGATGATGATGATGATGATGATGATGATGACGACGATGATGAGGAGAACGACGACGAGATGATGAGGACGACGACGCTTGACGTGGGTCGTGCTCCCGCGCCGATCCACTGGAACGCACGGAGGAGAAGAACTAATGATGAACAGGACGAGGGATGTGCGTTTCCTCTGGGTCGTGTTCCGGCACGTAATCCACTGGGACGCAAAGAAGACAAAAAGTTCATGAGGAGGAGGACAAGAACGACGACGACGATGTGCGGTTACTTTGGGTCGTGCTCCGGCACGTATCCACTGGGACGCACTATGTGTGATTCTTGAGGGTCGTGCACTGTCCCGCGCGCTGCACGGATCCACTGGGACGCACGGAGGAAATATGAACAGGAGGAAGAAAAAACAGGAGGAAGAAAAAAAAAGGACATGTGATTCCTTTGAATCGTGTTCCAGCACGTATCCACTGGGACGCACTCTCTTCTTTCATTATACTAAAACCTGAATCTCAGAGAAGGAACTGCAACATAGTGGGACGGAGCCGAGATGATCCCTGCCCGCACATGCCCGCACTTGGCCATGCCTCCGACGGTGCAACTACTCATCCGCGGCAATGGAGGCACAGAGCAGATCACGCACACAAATGCCCTGCACATGCAGTGCACTGCACAAAACGGCCCGCTAAAACAAATGAGTACTTCATGGGTTCTCAGCACCGGCACCTCACAGTAGCAAATGTTTCGCGGACCCCCGCGCGAGAGGCTCAACGTAATGCGTGTTCCGCAGGTTCTCGACACAGGAAGCTAAAGCGAATGAATGACGCACGGACTCCCCACACAGGAAAGGAAGCTAAAACGAATTATGGTTCACGGAGTGTCTGAACCGTTTCGCGGATTCCCGACACAAGAAGCTGAGGCGAAGCTGAGGCGAATGACAATTTAGCGGCCCCCCACACAAAGCAGGCCAAAAGTGATGAGTGCTCCACGGGATGTCAACACAACAAGCGTCATGTAGACGATAACGAACGATCCAGGCGGGAGGCCCAACCATCTGCAGGTGTGCGTGCCGCGTCGTGGGTACCGCTTTCAGTGGGGCCCCCTGATGGCTCCGCGACCCTCGTGAGGGGTGTGCACCCGTGCCGCTGGGGCCTTCGGTGGAGCTCACGACGCGGCCCCGATCCTCGTGAAGCGTGTGCCGACATGGGCGGGGGGCCGCGGGCGGCCACTGCCACCTGGGGCCCTCGGTGGAGCTCCCTAGGGGGCCACGACCCTCGCGAGGGGGGGGACGCATGCGCACCCTACAGTCGGGGCCTTGACCTAAGGAACCCTACTTAAGGAACGAGGCCCCCTTTTCCCAGAAGTTCAGCTTCGATTCCCCATGGAAAACCCAAGGAAAACCCAGGGCAGACTGTGAAACAATCAAGGAACACCGAGCCCCTCCCCAACGAAAAGGGTTCCTTCTCCAGCGCCCCGACTGTACCACTGGGGCCTTCGGTGGAGCTCCCTATCAGTCCACGATCCCCGTGAGGGGTGTGCCGAAATGGGCGGGGGGACGCATGCGGACCCTGGCACTGGGGCCTTCGGTGGAGCTCCGTATGGGACCGCGATCCTCGTGAGGAGTGGGCCGAAATTGGCGGGGGGACGCACGCGGAGCCTGCCAATGGGGCCTTCCGTGGAGCTTCCTACGGGGCCCCGATCGATGTGATGGCTGTGCCAAAATGGGCGGGGGGACGCCTGCGGACCCTACCACTGGGACGATCGGTGGACCTTTCCATGGGGCCACGATCATCGGGGTGCCGACATAAACGGGGGGGACGCATGCGAACCCTGGCACTGGGGCCTTCGGTGGAGCTCCCTACGGGGCAACGATCCTCGTGAGGGGTGTGCAAGGATGGGCGGGGGGGCATCTTGGGCTATCGCTGGGGTCATCCCCGAGTGGTTCCTCTGGGACGCCGGTGTGAGCTCTTGTGGGCCCTGGTGGGCCCCTTCCGAAGGCGATTGCAAAACGATGTTGATTCGGAGCCCCCTCCGAAGCGTCGTTGGTGAGATTGTCGCGGGCGAAACGGCCACTTCGGCGGAACCGTTCCTGACATGCACGGGAAGCGCGTGAGAGCAAAAGGCTGCGCAAGAACGTGCAGCATCAACACCATCAACTGTCATGTGGGCGAGCTCTCCGAATGTCCACAGGCTCCTGCGCTGTTCGTGGGTGGCTGTGAACTGCGCACGCCACGGTCGTGGGCTCCTGGGGGGTCCAGCGGAGTCGGGGGCCACGCGCAACCAGACGAGACCTCGCTGCTCCCTGGGTGGCGTCGAACTGCGCAACTGTCGCCACGTTCGTGGGCTCCTGCGAAGTCGAGCGGAGTCGGGGGCCACGCGCACCCAAGCGAGACCTCGCTGCTCCCTGGGCGGCTGCGAGCTGCGCAACTGTCGCCATGTTCGTGGGCCCCTGGGAGGTCCAACGGAGTCGGGGGTCTCGCGCACCCAAGCGAGACCTCGCTGCTCCCTGGGCGGCTGCGAGCTGCGCAACTGTCGCCATGTTCGTGGGCCCCTGGGAGGTCCAACGGAGTCGGGGGTCTCGCGCACCCAGGCGAGACCTCGCTGCTCCTTGGGCTGCTGCGAATTGCGCAACTGCCACCATCGTGGACTCCTGGGAGGCCCAGCGGAGTCAGAAGCCACGCGCACCCAGACGAGACATCGCTGCTCACTGGATGGCTGCGAACTGCGCAACTGTCGCCACGTGCGTGAGCTCATGCGATGTCCAGCGGAGTCGGGGGCCACGCGCACCCAAGCGAGACCTCGCTGCTCCCTGGGTGGCTGCGAATTGCACAACTATCACCACTTCGTGGGTTCCTGGGGGGTCCAACGGAGTCGGGGGCCACGCGCTTCCAGGCGAGACCTCGCTGCTCCCTGGGTGGCTGCGAACTGCGCAACTGTCGCCTCCTTGGAGGTCCAGCGGAGTCGGGGGCCACGCGCACCCAGGCGAGACTTCGCTGCGCCCTGGGTGGCTGCGAACAGCACACGCAACTGTCGCCACGGTCATGGGCTCCTGGGGGTCCCAGCGGAGTCGGGGGCCACGCGCAACCAGACGAGACCTCGCTGCTCCCTGGGTGGCGTCGAACTGCGCAACTGTCGCCACGTTCGTGGGTTCATGGGAGGTCCAGTCAAGTCGCGCGCACCCAGGCGAGACCTCGCTGCTCCCTGGGTGGCTGCGAACTGCGCAACTGTCGCCACGCGTTCGTGGGCTTCTGTGATGTCCAGCGGAGTCGGGAGCCACGCGCACCCAGACGAGACATCGCTGCTCACTGGGTAGCGGTGAACTGCGCAATTGTCGCCCCGTTCGTGGGCTCCTGAAAGGTTCAGCGGGGTCTGGGGGGCGCACGCACCCAGGCGAGACCTCGTTGCTCCCTGGGCGGCTGCAAGCTATGCAACTGTCGCAACTTGCGTGGGCTTCTGGGAGGCCCAGCGGAGTCGGAGGCCACGCGCACCCAGACGAGACCTCGCTGCTCCCTGGGTGGCCGCGAACTGCGCAAGTGTCGCCATGTTCGTGGGCCCCTGGGAGGTCCAGCGGAGTCGGGGCCACGCGCACCAAGACGAGACCTCGCTGCTCCCTGGGTGGCTGCGAACTGCGCAAATGTCGCCATGTTCGTGGGTTCATGTTCGTGGGTTCCTGGGAGGTCCCCAGGAAACTACGAAGTGCGCAAGTGTCGCCACTTCCATTGGCTCCTGGGAGGTACGGCGGAGAGGAGGGCAGCGCAGGTCGCGCATATCTTGAATATGTTATGTCGTCTTGCGCGTTCAAATAAAGATCCGCCTCGCGTGGAGAAGGGGTTGGGTACGTCTCGGGTATTTGCTTGCTTTGGTTGATTGTACTGCATGTGCGAGTTCGCAATAATTCCACGCCAATGCGCCGTCTAGGTGCGTCTTCGTGTGTGGAGGTTTGAAAAAATCTGGGAGACGGGGGGGGACGACACTAATCATATGGTATATGATCTACACTCCGTTCCTGCCAACCTCTGCCCTCCCTTCCGGCCCGCCAGGACTCCTCCATGTTCCGCCTCGCCCTCGCCCTCCTCGTCCCGCTCCCTCCCGCCCTCCATGGCGACCGGGCACCCATCTCCGAGGTCCCCCCGCCGGGCGGTGGATCGCGATAGGAGGGCCAGACGCAGCGCGCATGGCTGACGGGAGCACGCGTCGGAGAAAGGCGGGTTCACGCCGACGACGGCGTCTTCTGGGAAAATGTCGAGGACTGCGGGGTACCTGCGGCGTGCGGTGCTACGCGCTTCCACCAGGCCTCCTGACGCTGTGCGCCTCCTCTTGCAGGTTCATCGCTCACCCAATTATCGAGGGCGCCTGCGCCGAACCACCGTCGCCCCCTGCCCGTTGGAAATTGCTATGAGCCCAAACATCGGACTGTGTTCCCCCAACAGTTGCGGAAACCCTTGGTGGAACACGGGAACACTTGGGAGAGAGAGAGAGAGAGAGAAACAAAAAAGAGAGAGAGAGAGAGAGAAAGAGAGAGAGAGAGAGGGAGGCCTCGTGTCGTAAAATTAAGACCGTGCCCAGGCCACGGTTGCCGGGGCCTCTGGGGTCTTTCCAGGGCTTTGTTGGCCCGTCAGACGCCTTCCGAGGCCGTCTCGGGGGGCATCTTGGGCCTCCTAGGGGCCACCTCTTGTGCGCTTTAGGGTCGTTCTGTCATGGAGGCCTCTGGGGCCGTCTTCGGCTGACTCGAAAATCTGGAAAACGGGAACACGAGAATCACTCAAACATCTGAGGAGCACCAATGGTTCTGCCTGCTCCAGGCACGAGGCAACCTACACCAACCACAAGACACGTGCACAACATGGGCCCCAAGGATATGGCAGCCAACGCGACCACGGCATCCTGGCACACCTGGTTTCCCTTCTCTGTCTCTCTCTTCCTCTCTCTCTCTCTCTCTCTCGCCCCTAAGATGCCCCCGAGAGGCCCCCAAGAGGCTCCCAAGAAGCCCAGAAGAGGTTCCAAAACGGCCTCCAAAAGGCTTCACAACTGCCTCCAGAAAGGCACCCGAGAAGCCCTCCACGAGATCCAAACAAACATCCAATAGGCTTCACACCCACCAACCAAGCACGGTGGCGGCGTGGGCCGAAGGCCAGTATAGATTACACACATACATACATACATACATACATACATACATACAGACAGACAGGCAGACAGACAGACATGCTTACATGCATGCATCCATGCATACATTTGCACACACATTATACGCGCACGCTATGTATACAATATGTAAATCGCAGTGTATTATACGTGATGGAAAATATATGACACTTGAACTGTCGCATCTAACTTATATATCGTATGACGTATACCATGCGACCTACAACACCTACAATTTAATGGATATATCTATGTACGTGTGTGCATTTCTATGTATATGAATATATGATGAATTTGTTTGTGTGCAGATATGTAAACACATATATACAAACAAATAAAGGCACATACACCATGCATCATGCTATGATTGTATCTGTTATTAAAACATGAGCATACATAACAATGCAATACGACATGCTACCCTATAGTACGAACTGGCATACCATACAAGAGGAGGCTATAATATAACACACTGGGACACAATGTGGTCATACTGTGATACGACATCATATGGAATGATTGCGCGTAGTATAAACCAAGTAAGAGCATCTATTGTAATATGAGGTAATAGTATGTGACACACTATACCCACATACCATGGAATGCATTCTAGCATAACACAATGTACTAAACTATGAACTAATGCAATGTAATGTGATACGCGATGGGCTAATACGCTAGAAGAGACTAGTCACACATGTGTGCGCATGTATAAACAGACAAGCCTGCACATAGATATACAATTATCCATATGTATATATATACATATATATATACATATATATATATGGATCGATATATCGATTGAAATATACCTAACCTGTATATATAAATAGATAGTGTAAAGACCTACGTATAATAGGTACATGAATATATATAGTGTGATATATGTGGATAATTATAAATTGATAGGTACATATATAAACATAGTAAACGATCTATAGGGGTAGGACGTATAAATGTAGTTAGATTGGTAGATACAAAATGCACACAGACACACACACACGTTTATACGAATCTAGATATATATGGCTAATATATAAATATATATATATACACAAATATACGCATGCATATTTGTGTATGTATGCAAGTTGGTATTTACATATAGAGATGTGTATACATATATTTATGCATGTATGCATGTGTATATACATATACACATGTAGGTAGGTAGGTACGTGGGAATATAGATAGATGAACAGATATATCGATGCATGTATGTATGACTCCCTCGAGCTAGGCCGAAAACCTGCGCCGATACATACATTCAAAAACATGCAAACAGGGAGCCAGCTGAGGCTAAGCCTGAGCGAGCGAGCGCCTCGCAGGCGAGCGCCACAGTTGCGCGCGAACTCATCTCCCACTATCTCTCTCTCCCTCTCTCTATCTCTCAGGCCCAGAACGACCAGACCAGCCAACGACGATGAAGCCCAAAGACAACCCAAGATGGACCCAGTGAGTCTCCAAGAGGCACCACGATGACTGCAGGAGGCCGCTCAGTAGCGCCCGAGGATGCCGAAACCGTTGAGTCTCCATAGGTGTGTTGCGACTTTGAGCGTTCTCGCAGTTCCGGGGCCCCAAAGATCGCCCCAAAACGGCCAAATACCTGCCAACGAAAGCCCCAAAACGGACCATACGGCCCCCGAAGTGGCGCAGAAGGCCCCCATGACGGGCCAAAACTGCCTCAAGACGGCCACAAAAAAGGCCCACAAAAGGAAAACAAACTGGCATTTCAAACCTCACCCCCAGATGGCCACCGAGACCGTCAGCAGTCAGCAGGACCCCAAAAAGCCGCCAACAGGCCCCCGAGATGCCGTCAACAAGCACCAACGACCCTCCCAGGATGCTATCTGGAGCACCCAAAATGTCCGCAATAGTCCTCCAAAAAGCATCCACGATCAGGGCACTGTGGCGGGATGGCCCGAATACCACTACTTCTGAACAGGCATGTATCATATGTGACTGTTTCTAAATACGCATAAATACATACATACGCACATACAAACATACATGCATACATACATATATACATACATGTATGCATATATACATACGTACAGACGTACACGCATACTTACAGACTTACATACAATGTGTACATACAAACAAATATGTGTACAACTATGTATACATAGGCCAACATGGCGAATATACATGCGTTGTTCACTCCACGGCCCTGCTGTTCGCAATGAGCTGTCAACTCCACTGCTCGCGCAATCATCCCACCCAACGACCCGCAATTTGTCGGGCTGAACTGCCCCCCCAAGATGGCATGTGAACGCGGCTTCCTCTTCAAATCTGAAAGATGCAAATAGCACGCTCCATTTCACGACGCAGCGCCGGGGGGGCATTGAGCCCGCCTTTGCGCGGGCGCGAGCGCGAAGAGTCTGAGATGATCCTGAGAGGCTCCGGAGAAGCTCCCAAGGGGCTCCTCCGATGCTTCTGAGAGGCTGCTGAGGGCGGCGCTGATCGCACCTCATGTAGCCGAATCCCACCTCCGAATCTTGCCTGCGGCGGCCGCGCTCCTGCTCCGAATCTTGCCCATCGACGTCCCGAATGGGGCTCCGAATCGCGCCGCGTAAGGGCTCCGAATCTTGCCCGTCGACGCCTCGGATGGTGCTCCGCACTGTTAAAAACAAGACCGAAGATAATTCACCCAACTTTCGCTAATAATTCGGCCGATGTGAAACTGCCATCTTTCGGGGCAGCTTTCGGTGGCCTCGTCCGGTGGCATCTCGGGGGGCAAGCCCAGCGCGCGCGGGTGGCCTGTGTACTTGGGGCCCCGCGGACCCCGCGTCCAGAGCCCTCGACTCAAGGGCGCAGATCTCCTTTGATTCTGGGGCCACGGACCACGGACTCCGCGGCGGGGCCCAGGCGAGTCGGGGCCCGACCATGTGCTGCGGCATCGCGAAGAGCGTCCAGCAACGCCAAAGAAACCGCGCGCGAGAACGACATCGATCAAACAAATAAGCAACCCGGAACATAGCAAAATTCACAGACGTTTCGCTCGGGGTCCTGTTCAGCCCGACAATTTGGTTTGCAAAACTCATGCGGAGGCGGATGCGATGCCTGCTCGGCGCTGGCTGACGCATCGCAAGCTCGCGCGCAGGCCGGCTCGTCTGGTGCGACCGACGCGACCGCGGTGGGGCTGATCGCTGGGGATTTCCCAACGCGTATTGCAGGCCACGCTGACGCGCGGGCACTTCTGTGCGAGTCGGTGGCTCGGGCGGGCGAGGTATCGAGGCGACGTCGACAACGGCAGACACGATGATGATAGTAGCGAGGCTGGTGACGACGATTGCAATGGCGACGGCAAGGCCAATGACGGCGCCGATGCTGATCACGCCGATGACACTGACGGTGTCCACGTGCCGCCGAGGAAAATGTTGGAAGGATTTCGACATGCGTGCGCGCGGCTGGCGGGCGCGAGTGTCCCGCACAGCACTGGTTTTGACCAGGAGCGTGCCCCCCCCAGCAGGCGGGCAGGGGCGTTCCAGTGAGTTCGGCATGCGCGCACGAGACCAGCGTGTGATCTTATGCGATGAAGCATTGAAGAACCTGCGCGGCTCGGGCGTTCTTCGACATGCGCGCGAGGGGCCCGCTTGACCGCTTTGACTGAAACAATGGGAACCGATGGTTGTCCTGAGAGTTCGCAGGGGCGCGCCCGCATTTTGTTTCAAAACCGATGGTGCAAAACCATTGGGTCTTAGATGTTTACCTCGATCTTCAAATCCTGATGAAACCCATGGTGTTGAAAGACTTTCGGCATGCGCGCCCGACGGCGCGCGCGTATGGACTGTGTCTCAGTCGTTGCAAGGGGCTACTGAGATCCATAATTGTTGATGAACGGGGTGGATACCGTTTTGGCTGGGATGGTGTGAGCTCAGATGTGGCTTGAACGATGGGGCAGAGTCAGCTGTAAATTGTACTATCCCAGAGAGGGCCAATAAGACTGGGCGGAACATCTGAATTCCTGCTGGGAAAGGCGAATCCATGTGGTGCTATCTACGCGATGTAATTATGCGAGGCCGCGACGAGGCGGCGACGGGGCGGCGACGGCGACAACATAGCCGCCAGACCGACAATCAGGCCCACGTCCTCAGAGGAGAAAT